TTCTTCCCTGATGTAGAAAAACATTGAAGACATACTCTTTGCCACACACTAAGAAAGTTCTGCATCATTTCTCAGTCAGCTTTCTGGAAATTAGTTCTGTGGGAACACAAAATTTCAGCTTCTTTACAAATCTTAAGTGGAGTGAAACTTTGAAATGCAGCAACAGATGCAAAGTGTCACAAAAGCATTGTTTCAGCTAACCTCTGCCTTTTGGTAGAATTTAAGTCTTTTTCAGATGTCAACTGGAGAGAATATAATGACGGAAACTTAATCTCATTTAGACGGAACTGGTCTAAACAGCATTTAGGCTCATTACTACACTGCTAACAATAGCAGCAACTGCCTCCTATTTATGTTTTGAAATGAAAGCAGCAGTGATTTTACTTTCTGAAGGTTCTGATTATCTTTCTGTAGGTGTACTTTGTCTGACAAATGAAAATTTTGTCATGCCCTTTGTCCTACTCTGCTCATTTCTGGAGTAGAAACTTATGAGTCCTGAGCAATGTGCGGAACAAAAATGTAATCACCAAGACAAAGATAAAATCAAAACAGGGAGAAGGTTAGACATTTATAAATATATAAATGTATAAATTTAGGTGTCCTAAATTTGGTCGGAAATTTTTGGTCTGAGGAAGTAATATTCATACAAATCAATAATTTTTGCTTAATTAAAATGGACCAAAATAAATATACTAAAATGAAATAGATTAACTGTAAAATAATGTTTATTCTCTTTTGGGAGAAAGATTTCTGTGTTTGGGGACTACAAAAATCTCTTACAAGATCTTAGAAAAATGTCCTAAATTTCTGACATGCATGGGATATGTCATAATTTCACATTTGCAATGGTGGTAGTATTTTGCAATAAATCTTGGGCAAAGAAAAGGTTGGTGGTCATTTGGCTGACAGCAACTCAGAACTCCCTAAAACAGGGTAAAATCTGGGGTGTTTTAAGGATCCTGAGCTTGATGTGGGTAATTGTTTTATTTTCTACATCTTTACAAATTGAAAAGTTGAACAGATTGAATTGTTGCTGATGTAGAGCACTTGAGGAAGCTATTGTTTTTCATAGTTTATTCAACCTAAATGCAAAATGAGCATTTGTTTGGGAATGTAATGACTTAAGGTCAAACATTTTTTTCTTTACTGTGAACAAATCACTTGAGCCTCATACTTGCATTTGGCAGCTGTTAAAATGCTTATGTTTTCTATTCTTCATGCCAAGACTGACATGTGAAAAGAGAACTTTCCAGTAATGTTCTTGCCACAAAGAGAAGCTTGAACTTTCCATGTTAGTTAGCACTTTATTTTTCAAATCCTCTGGGATGTCTTGTCATTTCCTTGTGCTCTCTAATATGCTCTCTAGTAAAAATATTTAAAGCCACTTATATAATTTTTTTTTTTTGAGTAGTATTTCTCCTTAGACCCAAGACAGAATTCTGCAACAAATACAAGATGTTGCTTAGCGGCCTTAATAGTCTTGCAATCAAATTGCCAAAAAAAAAAATAAATAATAGTGTATGTGAGATTTCTGAAATATGGGGACTACAAAAAAGATATAAAATTGATTGTTTTCAGTAAGCTAATAAGCTTTCAGGATATGTAAGTGAGTGTACTACTTTTCCTTTTAAACTCTCCAAGTATTTTTCTCACTTCTAAAATTTAGCTTGGCAAGTGATATCTGAATTTGGCTTGTTCTAAACCAAAGTATTTTTGACTCTCATGAGATCACAGAAATTGATTCAGTTAAGTAGAATAGTTGTCATATTCTTTTCTTTGTCTAAAACCCTCACTCTAATTTCTTCCATGGGTGTTCATTTTATTTTAGGAAAAATTTATCATCTAAGATGATGAAAGCTACAATTTTCTCAGCAAGCTGTCAAACAACTGTTCTATTATCCTGTCATTTACACATGAATAAAATGTCTGTTAGATCTAATAATAAATTGGCTTGCATTTTAATGAGACTACTGATGTATTGCTCAAGGAAGACTGCAGAATACTATAGGAAACCCAAACTGAAAAGGCAGTGAATGTCATTTTATCCCATCTTCTGATATGTGGGAAACCCATCACCATCTGAAAATGCTTGTTTATGCATGTAAAGTAGGAGCAATGAAGATCTACCTAAATTTGTGTTTGTTTAACTACTATGATTCAGGAATGATAATAGGTGAGTTGGAATATCCTAACTCATGTGGTTTGCTGGGCAAATCATCAATTACTGTGACAGGAGGTTCTCTGTAAATTTATCACAGTTATTGGCCTTTTGATTTTTTGCTTTTTTTTTTCTTTTTTTTTTTTTTACGGTGTGCTGTGAACATTTCTTAAAGGCATAATTATTATTATTATTATTTTTTTTTATGTTATCTTAAATATTTGAGGGAGTTAGCCATGTGAGCATGCTTGGTGTAAAAACATAAAATTCTACATTCCGTTTCAGATTTGGGGGGTTTGGGAATGAGGTTAGTGAAAGGAAGGAGGGGAGGGAGAAGAGAAAGCATGCAGTCATCTGGAGAAAAGATTAAACATTCTTTGATCATAAGCAGTGGGACTGATCTTCCCATACTGTGTCCTGCAGCTCTGATTTTAAAGTGCCAGGGCTGAGAAATACAGAGATTCCTCTTTTTCTCCAGAAGCAGATTATGCCACCTGAAACACAAGGGACTGGATTTACAGGAAGGTTTAAAGCAGGACTGCCTTGCCACAGGTGCAGGTTTCTAAAAGCAGGTCCACAACCACATTGCCTTCACTGTGGTGCAGATGTATTCAGTCTTCATGGGGCCACAGCTGAAATCAAGTCTGTAAAACCATGATCTTATGCTGTCCCACCTCTTTATAGGCTTTATGTTTTGAGGAAAGAGTGTTTTGCACAAAACATGATTGTCTGATTACTGACTTCTGGCACAGTATGTCTCCAGGATCATGCGAGCCCTTGACATTGGGGCAATGCCAGCCAGATGTGTTTATTCCCTGTATAGTACATGGGCAAAGTATGGGCATGTATGCCCCCATGTGCCATCAATATCAGAATAAAGAGGAGGCAAGTGTGTCACCTATTGAGATACTTTTCTACATCATTACTGCATTTTGTGCAAGGTAAAGAATGTGAAGCTACTTTTGAACTGCAATGACAAGCAAAAGTTACACCAGAAAATCAGGACAAGAGCAGTCTTAGCCCTCCAAAAGGTATTTCTTGTCATTCATCATGTTCAGGTTATGGGGCACAGTCAAAGTTAAGTTTAATGTAAAGGAATTAAGACATAACTGTACTCTAACCTTTCTTATGAAATAGTATGGTTTCTAATCCATTTTTAATCTACCTTGCAATGTACATATACACTATGAAAAAAGTATTTCTAGTCTCATAAATATGTGGATTGATGCAGCAAATGTAATAGAGGAGAGCAGCTCAATTACTGCCACATGGTTAATATTTTTCGTAAATTTCATCTCTTATTCAGTTTTTCTTGTTTTAAGCATGAAAAGGATTATTATAAAAGGACTAATCTTTAGAACCAGACATAATATTTGATCCCAAACAAAGTGCAGAGAATTTCTGTGAGAAGTCGAGCTGGTCTCCCACCCCGGCTGGCTCCCATCCCTTTTTAGACCGCTTTTTAATACACAGCAATGAGGGATTAGAAATATGATTCTTGTGTTGTTTACAGAACTGTGGAGTTAAATCAGAGTTCAACTTTTAATAATAACAAAAGTGGTTTACAAATATTTTTGATCTGTATAACCTATTTAGGGCATAGAAATAGTACAGTTATTCTCTTAAGAAGAGAATAGAAATTGTGAGAAAAACGAATTTGTTCCTGTGTTAATAGCTACAAAACTTAAATGAGTTTTAAGTATGAAACTCAGGTTTGTCTTTAAGTTATAATGAAGCTGAGTGCCAAGGCTGTGCCTATATGAATAACCAGTACACTTCTATCATAAACTCCTTGGCTGGCTGAAGAACTCCAGGGTTTCCCACAAGCACAGTTGAGATAACTGACAGGTTTGAGAAGATGGATCAACTTTACTATCTGTTCAGTCAATCACCTTACTTCATCTTCTCAACAAATTATTTGATTAATTGGTACAATCTCTAGCTGGGAATGTCATAACAACCTGAAGACTCCTTCCAGACATATTCTACTGTATCTAGGTCAATTTCTGTACTTGAGTTTTTTGATTAAGCTCCTAGAAGGACAATCTGGTTCTTCCACCCACAGACTTGACTCCACTAGAGGCTTCTGCTGCAAAATTGATCAAATAATAAATAGATAAGATCCTTTCAAATGAATAGAAGCTCCTCCTGCAGATGAAAAAATGATCATGTAGAACATAGTCTTCTGCATTTAGTTACAGTGATCTGTAGTAGTGAATCCAGCATATGCTGGGATGGTTACTCAGGACCATGGGCCAGTTGGATTACAAAGGTTCGGGAAAGCAGTGGTTCAAAGAGTCTCACACAATCCAAAGATCCTTACAAGAGAGACTCCTGTTGCCATCTGGACAAAAACAAGACGTCCTGTTCAAAATTTTAATTCGACTCATTAACATTATCCTATGCAACATCTTAAGATGTTGCTTTATTTAATTTTAACAAACACTGAGTGCCTATGTAATGTTTCTTCTAGGAACTCCTAGTACTTTTAGTTGTGCTTTTCAGGCAGTCCTGACTCTAGATTATTCTTTGTGTCTTGTTGGGTGTTTCACAATACTAGCTTGAGCTGGAACTTAGAGTCTGAGCTCAAAAGTGAGTCATGTTACCTGGAAGAAATAGACTTTGGTTCTGTGGAACCCATTTCTGACTTCAGCTTTTATAAGTGGTAGTAAAACACTCACATCAGAAAAAAATAAAATAAAAAAAAAATCTGAACTTTTCTAATCACTATAGAATTGGAAATAGAGTTTAGAGTTCATCTAGAATCACTTTCAAGTGTTGACAGAAATGACATGTTCTCACAAAACTGTCTTTTTTTTCTTTTTTTTTTTTTTTTTCATAGTCAGTAGACGTATCTCAAACAGCAAGCATTTGGAACTGAGGATTTGATGGAAAACTTTGAGTGAGGAGTTCATGAACAACTTACAGGCAACAGCTGAAGTTCCAAATAAGAGGTATTTGAGCTTTTTGGTTATGGACTGTTTAGATGTGTTGCTATTCTGTTTTGCTTTATTTATGTTTCACATTTGCACAACAGCATGTTTGGAGTAGAGGTTGTAAATCAGAATGTCTCCCACCTAATTTAGGAAATCTGGTGATTTCCTAAGTCACCAGAATGAGAAGCTGTGCAATCTTTTATGATACCTGGATGGACATCATTATGATAGCTGTTGATGGACATCAGCTCCATGACCCTTCCCCTCCAATAGTTTTGGCTGAAAAAAATGTAGAGGTGGTGTCTTACATCTTAGACATATTATCTTATCCTATTTATTCAGTAGGAAAGATATCATCACCCACACTCAACAAAGTGTTTCAGTGTTCACCTTAAAAAGAATTTTTCTGACAAAAGATATTACATATATTACAAGCAACTGATGAGAACTAGGAAAGAAGCTATATAAAAATAAAAATAAAAAATTGAAGTATGCTTGTCTTATTGATGTTAACTACAACTAAAAGAATTCTTAGTTTTCTTTCCTCTGCTAGAGAATGGAAATGTCTAATAACTAAGACGGTAAGTTTTTTTTGTTTGTTTGTTTGTTTGTTTGTTTTTGAATGGGTTGGCTCCTTTATTCTCCCAGGTCTTTGCTTTCTCCACCTCTTTTTTGATTCATTGTCTAAGCTGTAACATTATCAGTAGCACTTGATTTGAAGAGATTTTTGTAGAGTAGTGTTTTGTCCTCTAGATTTGTTATAGTCTTGTAAATTTTGTTGTAATTTTCCTGCAGAATAGCATGATATTCAGTGTGCACTTCTCAATTTTTGTGGAAGATATTTTAAATGTAGGAAGTCTGGTCTTTAGGAGTGTGTCTGCTTGATTTGTATAAACAGTACTGTTTTTTCCACAGTTCTATTTCTTGTGGGGAAATGCAGATTCAAACTGTCTGATTTAATTTTATTAATAATCAGTTCAACTACTTATTCATAGTACAACCAAATGGAATATGTAGCATATCTTATTATATAGATACAAATTCGTTTTCAATAAATGTTTACTCTGTTCAGTGTCTATTTATTCCTTCTGTTTCATTCATTGTGTAAATAAAGTGAACAGCTAATGCATGCAAAGGACATAATTTCCCTCTTCCTTATGTTGTTGGTTGTTTTTCTAATATGATCGCAGGCTATAAATCCCCTTGAGATCTTGGCAGAAACTTAAAGCTCAAGAAACTCCAATTCATGCTTATAGTGATACCAGATGGGAAGAATAAAGCCATAGGATACTTTACATTCCCAAGCTTCTCTCTCCTCTTAAACCATTTCTGGTACTATCATTGTATATGCATGTGGCAGTAAGAATAAATCTCGTCTATTAAATACCTGGTGGAAAAAATCTCCTGCCTCTGAGAATACTGGATTACATTTTTATCGCCCATATATACATTTTCTCTTGGTTGGTCTTTTTGGATTTGAAAACATAGAACTCATCACTGCTCTACTTTAAAAAGACAAGAAATAAAACTGTTACATCAGAGTGTGAAGATGAAAAGATTTTCTATCCAAAACTTCAGAAATCAGAGAGCATTTCTTGTTTCCACTTAGTCAGCACTTCTATCATTATAACTGCCAGGGATCAATTCTATTCAGGCCCAAATAAAAGCTGCTGTGCCTGTCTGAGGGAGGACTTGTCTCAAACTATTTGCTCAACCACAGACTTTGTGTGAGACTGAGTAAATGTGCTTGGATTTAAAAATAAAATAAAATAATAATAATAATAAAATTTAAAGCATTTCATCAGTCTACCTGACTCATTATTATTAGTTTTTGATCCAAAATGCAGAAATTTTTAAGAGATAAAAAATATGATATTTCTGTAAGTACTCTATACAGCTCAGAGGACAAGAAATAGCAGTTGGTGATTATCCACTAGTGTCAGTGTTGGGATTTGTCCTCCATGCTCTTGTGTTTTCCTAGCATTGATGATGAACTGAAATTGGGTACTGTAAGAAGCTGCTTTCAAATTCCATCTGCATGTTGACTCAAGCACTGCTGTTCCTATGTTTGTGCCCCTGAAGAGATAGGATTTTCAGAGACCATGTGGTTGTGGTGCATGTGTGCAGTGGTGCTAGAGCATGATGACTGGAAACCTTGAAGAGGGCATTATCACTATATGTTTTAGCCGTTTCCTCCCATATGAATGTGTAAAACTGTTATGAGACCATATTCTTAGAATAAAGGCTGGTGAGATCTTTGGGAAAAGTTTGTTTTTATCTACCTTCATTATCTGTCAGTACAATCTGATATGTTTTGTCATAGTTCAATAAGAAAAAAGGTGAACAGAGTGTGGTTCTTTTTTTTTATTATTTAAATTTACTTGCTTTTTTGCATACCAGCAGCTATGCTTTTGTACAGTCCTAAAATTGGGGTTATGCTCTTATTGTTTGCTTCTGAGTAATAACTCTGAAAATTTGCTTTGATACACAAAGCTCTAGGCCTCTTGGTGTTTGCTTTGAGGGGCATTCGTGGCTTACAGTAAAATAAAATAAAGCTACATTATCACCTGGAGAGAAGCTCCCAAAGTCAAGTTAACTAATACATTGTGAGAAAGCACAACGTGGCTACTGTTTCATTACTATCTGATCTGATCTGACTGTCAGCACTTGCTCAGTCCTTCTCTGCTCCAACCTGTGTGATTCTGCCACCATCTTTCCAGTGACCCCAGAACTTGTCACACCTTCTCGTGTGCCAGTTTGGTTCATTAACCCAGTAGAAACATTATCTTTTTTGTTTGTTTTTTCTGCTCAGCTGCTGAGCTGAATCTGTCCTTAGAAGCATCCAGCAGCTGCCAGATCTGGTGCAGGTTAAGTTGTGACTGAGCATAGCTTGCAATGTGGTAAAAGAGAAAAGATAGATAAGAAGAGCAAGGTCAGAGGTACCACCCAACAGATATTTTTGTGGGTGATTGACTGGCTTACTTTGTGCTAGGAGACAACTCATGGTAAGAGGAGTCAAAAAAGCTACACATTAGATTAAAGCTTCTCATCTGCCATGGTTCACAAGAGTCACTGGAGGGGGACTGTGCTCTAGGTGTTAAGTGTCAAAATGTCAATCCACCTCTTGCCACAAATCAGCATCTTTTCTCAAGCAGGGCCACAAAGAGCAGATTGCCCAGGACCATGTCCAGGTGGCTTTTAAAAATGTCCAAGGAGGCTCACTCCACCACCTCTCTGGCAGCCTGTCCCAGTGCCCTGTCACCAGCACAGTAAGGAAGTGTTTCCTTTTTCTCTCATCTTTTCTACAGCTGAAATTCTGTTTTCCAATTTACGCTTTTAAACTTTGATTTAATTTGCATCTTCTGAATAATATAATGTCTTAGGAAGTCTCAAATATTACACCAAAAATAGAGACAGAAAGTCGTTACAAAGCTATGGTATACTTTGTCTTCTCAAATAACTTTCTTTTCATCTGTAGTTGAGAAGACGTTTCATTCTTTTTGTTATTATTTCAAGGAATTGAACATTGATCCATGGAAAAAAATAAGAAACCTATTTTATAAAATTCAGACGTGGAATAATAATTACAATTTTAAGACAAACAGAGAGCTAAAGTCTTGAAGGTAGCTTGTCTGCTTTGGTGTGTGTAGGTCAGTTATTCTCATGGTGACTAGGCGAGGGCTTAGACTGAGGGAAACATTAAACATCAAATAAACATTGTCTCAAAGGTAAGCAGTTGTTTGAGGTATTGTAATATCTATGAGTAGGGACCATAACAGAAAGTAGATAGATTCAAAATGAAATGGACTTAAATATTTCAACGTAGTCTTCATTTACAATTAGGGAAGAGGGGAAAGAAATAAGATTCTGCCTTGCTTATATTGTTATGACTACTGCAAACAGAAAGCCTCAGAGTCCTGAACATAGTGGTCCATCTTCATGGGGTGTTTTGAAGTGCTGCTGGATGAATAACTAAGATACAGGGAAACCAAGGCACCCAGGCAGCCCAAGGCAATCCACACAGTAGGCTCAACAGGCATGAGTCAGATAGATTTCTTTGAAATGCTAGAAGAGAGCTAGCCTTCTTGGAAAGAAACTGTGAAAGTTTAGAATCATGAGCAGAGAGCTAGTTATTACAGCTCTACAATCAGCACTGCCAGATCTGTGTTGCACTGAACTTTCGGCTATGAATACAGATGAGAGAAGAACGAGAAGATTTGGAATAGATGGAATGGATTCACCAAGGTTAAATCATGCCTGATTGCCCTGACTGCCTTTGTGATAAAGTGACTAGTTTTATGGACTAGGCAATGACAGTGAATGTAACTTACCTTGATGTTAGCAATGCTAACAAATATATTCTTGTGTCAGAGCTGGGACATCAGAATCTGGGTGAGTAGGCAACTGGGTAGGTAGGCAACTGGTTGGATAATCAGGCTTGGATGGTCAGGATTAGAGGGTAGTGGTTAAGGAGTCATATACAGCATGGAGCCAATGGTAGGTAGAATACTGTAGCACCTTGTCCTGGCACTTCTCAATGTTCTGTCTCTGAAACTGAGAGGACTGGGTTTGTTCAGCCTGGAAATAAGAAGGCTTTATGGGGACTCAGTAGCAGTCTTTCTGTAAGAAGATTATTGAGAAGATGTAGCCAGGTTCTTCACAGTGGCAAGCTCTCTCACATGGCAAGAGAACAAGACAGTTAACATAAACATAAGGACTTTTTTTTTTTTTTTTTTTTTTTTTTTTTACTGTGAGGACAGTCAAGCCTGGAGAACCTTTTGCTACAGTCATTAAGGTGCCTTCAGAGAGAGATGTGGCCTTGAATATTTGATAAAGATCGAATTTATTCACCAAACTACATATGGGTTTATAACTTTTGCAGGAAGACAGACATCTTCCATGCCTAGCTCTTTTATGGAGTCGTTCTTAGTTCATGTTAAGATTATCTGAATTTAGTTCCAAGACAGAAAACTAGCGGTCTGTAAATTCCCATATTTGCTTGTGTAGTTATATCCTCCAAATGCAATAAGCCATGGATCTTAATGGAAATGTACTTTTCTTCTACCAAAATGCAGTAGCTATTGTCTCTTGTGGCTGAGAATAAAACTCAGTGTGACTATATAAATTGTTTTTTTTTCTTTCTTCTTAAATTTACATTCTGGTGTTGCACCACATCTTGTCAAATTTTCTGGTCCTAATCCCTTACCAGTGTTGCACATGACTTTGAATGAGTAAGAATTTAAATACATAAAAAAATATATATTGTCTTCTAACCACAAAATGAAGCATAAAAACATCTTTACCTTTACTTTTTTATAGGAAAAAAAAAAAAAAAGAAAGAAAAAAGTGAGTATAAAAGGCTGTCTTCTTTATATCTTGAATCAGGCCCAGAAATGTGTCTGTTTTTCCTACATCTAAGCTACCAATCCTGAGGTTTTCTATAATGGTGCTATCAATCTCTCCTCTCCTATGACAATGTGGAGGAGGAAAAACTGCTTTTTGTCTTTTTTAGCTTTTATACATTAGGTATGTCTTTTTTTTTTTTTTTTCCCCATGAATTAGTCTTGAGTTTGTTTATGTGGTAACCAAAAAATTAGCTCTTTGTTCTTGGATTCTCTGTCATGTTTCACATCCTCAAAGTATAGAGCATTTATTAGCTCATCTGGTCTGACCTGTTCATTTCTTCAAATCATTCAGTTTCCTTAACACAATAGAATTTCATTTTAACTAAAACCCTTCATTCTCTCAGAAATTTCATTATATTCCATTATATGCATTATACTATGTGCTATAAACAGAAACTTCAAGCAGCAGTTTTCTTGTCTTTAGCCAGACAGCTTCTGCTTCACACCTAAAGAAAAGCTTGTGTCATTTTTGTTGTTTGTACTTTTAACTTCTGTCTATACTGGTTAGTCTAGCAACATTCCCACCCACCCTCCACACCCACTCCCCTCCCTGCCCCATGAGTTTTACCTCTATCATAGGTTTTAGAATCATATGGCTAAATCAATGGTTATTGGCCTTTGCTGCTGTTAAATAGTAGTATTATTTTCAACAGACTTATCAACAGTGGGAGGAAATGCATGGAAGTCCAGATAGGTATTATTTTGTGCTTCAGAGCAATGTGGAAAAACAGCATCCTTCTTATCTGGTGCAAGAGAAATATTTGCAGGACTTCTGAGATATTTTAATGAAACTAAAGAATATCAATTCTCACTGTAAGTGAATAATGCTTATTCAATGCAGCCCATGGTGTTTTACTATCTTTTTTTTTTTTTTTTTTTTTTTTCAGGCTGCAAAACTCAAACTTCAAATGAAATATAAAAATGTTCCATTACACACTTTCCTCTTTCTTTAGAGCATGCTGGAAAATAAGCATGACATCTGAGGCCCTTTTTGTAAGGTTACTAAGAAATAAAAACTGACCCAATCCCTAGTGTACTATGCTGTCTACAAACAGAACAAAAATACCCTTACTTTCCTCCATAAAATGACTATGTAAACATAGGAGGTAGAAGTTGCATTCAGACAAACAGAAAAATGTACCCAAGCAGCAAGACTGCACTCAGCAGCGGACACTTGATAGTCTCTCCCTAGCAAAGGCCAGTCTTAGGAGTTTGCATGCGGTATAAACCCCCAAAGACACATGTGCACTCACTACAGTAAATGCTGTAGATGAAGAAGCTGTCTCAGCTACTGATGTTACCTTACCGGTGCAAGAGCTGCCTGCCGTTTTCCGGACCTCCCATATCACTCTTTTGGTGTGCATTTTATGGGCACTCTCAAAGCCACTTCACAAATGCCTCTCTTAGTCTTGGGAAGACACAGGAAAAGTGCTTAAAATAACTAAAGAGCTGAGAGTGAGTACCGAAGTCTCAAATCCCACCATGAGTTTGATTCTTGAAATGAGAGTGTTTTTTATTGTCACTGCAATACACACAGCAGGGTGTGGTGGAGGAAGATGTTTTTGCATTTCTAGTTTTGACTGTCCTGATGTGTTTAGTACGCATATTTATTCCATCACATGTTCACTGTGAGTTGCTGCTCTGAACTTCTCAGTTCTGAAAGACAAGAGTGAATCAGTGAATGCAAGTGGAGAATGTGGTTGTGTAGTCTGCAATCTGTGCGCATCCTCCAGGGCTGCCAGTTAAAACTGGGGTTTCTGCAAAAAGGAGATCTGCCTACTGTGGAATAGCTCAAACATTGTGGTTGAAATACTATAGTTGTGCTATCAGTAACCATGAATGGAATCTGGTATTCTGCCTCAAAACAAGATTAAAACTGCATAAGGTCAAGCAGCAACCCATAACCTTCTGGCTCTGCCCCCAGTAACTGGCCCTGGCTTTTTGATACCTCATTCAGAGCCAGAGAATGTGAGACCACTTGGCTCTTGCAAAACTTCATCATCTCACAGGACTATGAGTGCAAAAGAGCTGAGGAAAATGAAAGAACACATGAACTGAAACTTTTAGGCTTTATTAGAGGTATATTTGTTGTATCACATAGTGTTGCATGTTTACAGCACGAGAAGGATGCTACCACTGCAGTTTGTTACACCACTGCTGCCTCAGCCTCCTATCCTTGTGCTTCTTCATTCTGGCTTTCAGTTATTGCAAATTTAACTTAAAAGCACATAGGGATGGAGCCTCTCTGTATATATATATATGTACATACCTAATGCAGGAAGGCTCTTCGGTGTCAGAGTCTCTACCACTGTATGAGGCCATTATCAAAGAGCTGCTGCTTCTCCTTCAGTGACCAGAGAGCAGAGGTCAGTGTGGGGCAGCAATGGGTTGAAGAGCAATGACACCATACCATTCTTTGTTTTCTCCACCTCAGTTACTTGGATGTCATGGGCAGAGGCTTCTAAGGCAGTTGGAAACTTGTCTTTTAAGTGTCCAGTTTATTTCCCTTTTAACATTAATATTTTTATATTTTTGCTGTCTTCATCACAAAATAAGTGTTTGTTTTTTTTTTTTTTCTTTTTTTCTTGTCAAGGTTCAGGAAGAGCTGCTGATGGGCAGCTCCCATCTTATCTTCTTCTTATCTTCTTCACTTGATTTTTTCATGCTCAGCACTAGTCTCTATTAAAAGATGGTGTCCCCCCACCCTGTAGTGCACTCTGATTTCTCAGTGCACTTCCATACATCATCTCAAGTGTTGACTCCCTCTTTGTCAGTCTCATTTCACAGTTCTGATATCAGGTCTCTTCAGCTGATATGTGTCAGCTTCCCTTTTGAAACAGGAAGAAAATATTCCCAGATGTTTTTTGCTATTTTTAAACTTTCAGAGAGTGTAGAAAATTTGGGGTGAAATTTTATACCTTGTAGGAAGCAGAAGGTCAGGGAACTTTCAAACCATGCAGATTCTTTGCAATGCTCTGATGATGCTTAACAGGCTTTGTAGGATATCAAGAGACAGCAAAGTCAAAAGTGTACCTGACTGGCCTTGGCTTGTAGTGATCTCAATGACCTCTCCATTGCTTTGAAAATTACCTTCAAAGACATAATGCTTGTGTTCTGTGCCATGACTTTTATGTTTTTAATGGAACCATTGCACACTCCCATCATTCTCTGTAGTGCTTCTCTTTGGCCTTTCACAGTACTTTGAAGAAGGTTTTTACTTGATCTGAGAATTAAATGCACAATCCCCATAAAGGCATTTACAGGTCTCCTAAATATTCAAAGCTGAGATGAGACTGAACAGGACATAATTCCTTTTGATGTCAAGTGGTGCTGAGTATTTCTAAACTGACAAGAATAAACTTCAGAACACTCAAGAGTTTGCATCTTCACCAATTGGCTTCATGGTGCACAACAGCAGGCTGAAATTATTGATTCCATCTCCCTGTTATATGGATTGCCCTCCAAGGGCAATACATTTATAACACCAAGGATATATTTCCTAGATAAGGGACAGCCTTTAAATTAGGAATAGAAGAAAAGCACTGCCAAAGCTGAACTACCACTAGAACATACTTTATGGAATAACAGCTGTAGTCCTACCACTTACATGGTGCTTTTCATCTTCAAAGTGCTTAAAAATATTAACTGCTAAGTGACTACATCAGAAGATTGATTCCCATCCACAATAGGGCTTTCTGACTCCACTCTAGTGAATAGAAGCCTTCAAGTGGAGGTTATTGATGTCACAAGTACTTTTCTAAGTATTTGGCCATTGTAGATTGTTGGAATATAGACGAAGTTTAGCATGAGGGAGCATGAGATTTGTTTGGTGTCTGCTGGCCTCAAATCAGCTTTCAAATGATCAGTACAATCACAAAGATAACAAAGAAAAAAAAAATCAGAATAATGTGTCTAATTTGGTCTAATTCAAATAATTGTTTATTGGGTAATAGGTGTAATAGAGAAATTATGTGCATTTACCAGCAAAAATGAGTAAAACTGTTGGAGCACTGGCTCACTTATTAAGGTTTTGGCTGGGAGAAATAACACAATTTGGAAATGCTTTCATTATTTTTTCCAAGAAATCACTACTATAATTTCGAGGTAAAGTTAGTGATGCCAAAGCCACAGTGAAGCACTAGAAGGTGATGTGTTTTAAAAACAACAAATCAAATAGCACATGATTGCAATGAGCTCATTATACAGTCTTTTTCACAGGTAATGCTTATGCATTTTTTTCACTCTCACCGTGTCTATCATTGTTAAACATCTGAGAGCATAGTCTGCCTTACTATTACATATACTTTTGTGTTGTACTGTAGGAGTGTCTCAGAACTTTTACTGATACTCCCCTAGGTGAACTTTCCTTATTCCTTCTCATGTGTGTTTCTCTTCTCCCACTGCACAGACTTCATTCATTAGCACTGTACAACATCAACATAATGTATTAAAGGTATACTCAGAGACAAAAGTCACAGAAGTTTTTAAGGAGAGTGTGCTTTCTTTCCAGGAGGATAAAACTGAAGCCTTTTCTCAGTTGTCTCAATTCTGTTTCTTATTATGCTCTTTCTACAGCATAATTTGCAACTACCAGAGAAGCACAGCATGGGCGTGAGTCAACAGCAGGTGAGGACATGACTTCCTTAGCACTGGCTTGTCACACAAGTATTTAGGGTTCACATTTCTGTGTATTTCATGAAGCTAAAATAACTCAGTGCTTGTAACTCACAAATATATAATTCTATTCAGTGAAGAATTCAAGTCTTGTCAATTAGAGGATGAGAGGATGGAACATGTTTTAGAGGAATCTTTCAAATGTCCTTTTAGTCAACAGCAGGTATTGATTTTTTTTTCCTCTTGCACTGTTGGATATAATAAGAAAAAAATGTTATAAAAGGAGATAAAGAAATATATCTAATGGCAGTGCACAGTTTAGGAATTGAGATGCTACCTGCAAGGAGCTTTTGAAGATGCTAACTGCTAAAAGCAAGAAGGGTTAGAGAAAGGAGCACTCTATTAATTCTCTGTGGCTTACACATCATCTTAAGCAGTGGTCAGTGCAGAAAACAAGGTTCTGGCCTGGATGGACCTGCTGCATGACCTGACATGGTTGTCTTCTGTGTGTTTTACAATTTCACTTATGAATTGGTAGGAAAGGTGGGATTTAAACTGAAGTACATTGTAGTAAGAACGCACAGTGAAACATGAGTGTGGAATATACACTGGGATACAAACCATTAAAAAACTAATAGACAGGTGCTACTACATCTCTCCTGGTCTTACCAGGAGAATGTGTATACCCTCATGGATAGTGTCATCCTTGTTTTTCTTGGTCTCTGAGGAATAAAGTATGAAACAGCAAGAAAAGAGCTGCCCAACCTGCCCTGAGATCTTATTTCTATTCTTCAGTAATTAGAGGCTGTCCCAGCTCTTTCAGAATTGAGTCTTTGCTAACAGATGAATCTTAACACTGCAAACAGAAATGTCATTGTAAATTAAAAAGTGAAGGCAAAGAAACACTACCCTTTTTGCCCCTCAAAAGAGGAGTCCACTACTTATATATTTGTTTCTAGATAGTTTTCTTCAAGCGAAGGAGGGAAACATGGCTTGACTGGGAAGAAATCCTATGAATTAGAGTTAGTCATAGGAATGGTGATGAGTTAAATTTAAATAAGAAAGAGGTTTGCTTAACAGCTAGTGAGCTCTCCGTAGAAGTGATGCCATTGAAGAAGAAACATAATTACAGTTTAAGCATTCTGAAATAACATTCATAACATTTTTTTTCTTAGTTCAGCAAATGTAATGTGAGGACTGTGAAGAGGAGTTAAATTAAGCAACTTCTGAAAACCCTGAGTGAGCTGTTTCCTTCCAAGATATTATACTTTAATAACACCATAGCTGCCATCTAGAGGAATGATATTCAAAGATGTTACTAATACAGGCATAAATCCTGCATATTTGTGTTAAAATCATATTCACCTAGGCAGAGATCTGATGTGTTTTGTAATATACTATCTGAACCTATCATTTTTGAAATGATATATCAGACTGAGCAGAAAGTAAAAGAAAAGCTATTCATGCAACTGTCTCGTGCAGAGAGAATCTCTCCCAAGTTTTCCTTCTGTGAAGGAACTGGACTACATAGCCTTACTTAACTGGTATTGGTGGTGTCAGGGTGGCTCATTTCCGTCTGCTCAGGGACAGAAATAAAGTGGCTTCTGACACTGTGAACTAATCCAAGAAGAGAAAGATCCTCTTCAGTCTCTGCAGGTAGTTGAACTGCTGTCACCAAAGATTATGTAAAATGAATTTGTTTTTGATTCTTAAACCTCTGTACCTGCCCTTTGAAATGAGGGCTTACAACTAGACACCCGTTGTTTATATTTTTCTGTGGCAAGTCAGGGTGTAAGGGCTAGGAGTCAACACCAAGTCTGGCATGCAGCCACACGAGCATAGATTCAAAATGGGCTGGAACAAGCTTTCAGGGTTTGGATGTTTATTTGAAGCTTTTTCATATTGTCTCAAGAGTTATTTTTTTTATGTCTTAAACCTGCACTTGCAGTTCTTCATAGCTAGCTGCTGTATGGTGTGGTGGTAGAGATACCTCCTTTTCTTCTACTTCAAGCACCCGTGTCCCAGGCAGAACTGTGTATGTCTGCAGTGCACAACCAGAGCCAAATGCTTCGAAGTCTCCATAGCTAAATTTAAGCTGAGCTTTTTTGTACAGCTGAACACTGGCTCCGGAAGGGATGTCAAGCAAGAGAAATTGGGGTGTTACTGGTTTGGTTGCTAGTAACAGCTTTCCAGTCACTCTGAAATGCCCTGGGAGGGTGGTGGGAGTAAACTTGCACTATGTATGGATTTTTATACATCTGTTTGGGGAGAAAAATAAGTCATTTCACTTACTGTCATCCTGGCACTATCTCTAAGCATTTGATTCATTGAAAAATAGCTTTCCCTAAACAAATCATTTTATTATTGCTGTGACTTTTTGTATCTGGATCCAGGATGTGGCATGTGGCAGATGTAATTGATTGGCATTAGAGATAGCTGGAAGTTCCCATTTTCATTCTCTGTCCCTAAAATAATACTAGTAACAAATAAATAAATAAAATGAAATCCTGTTTCTTCTCAAATGGTCCACTGTGATATCTCCACCCATAGATGCACATTCATGTATTTGACATAAAATTCAACATCCCTAAATTCCCAGTAACAAAAGGTATTGCTAGTCATGGTTAGTCACTTGCTGGTTGTCTTTTTCCATATCCAAACTGACTTGCTACATGTGTTTTGCCATATGGGTGAAGCTGTGCAATATGTTGTCTTTGTGCCATGGGATATTGAAGTCCCACAGATGAAGGTTGATATTACTTGATCAAATCTTTTAAGTGAACAAGTTGAATTCAGCCTCCTAGACAATTCTATTCATGCATTCATTTTCAAGAGTTTGGCCAATATACATAATATTTTGAAAATCACTTGCATTGCTTTTTGTCTGTTATTTAATAACTTGTAATAACTTGTCATAATTTACAGTCAGAGATGAATGGATTGCTACATCTCAGTCTGGCATCTTAATATTATTCTTAACTGTCATCTCTTTGAGAATGCTTGAATGTTTCAGTGTTAGAAAATAGATGCATACGTATATAGATTTTTTTTTTTCCATATGTATTCATTATTCATAAGTAATTCATAGAATAGTTCAAGTGAACGAATTGCAGTCTTTGGGTACTTTCTGAATTATTGATTGTAAACTACTGAGCATTTGTGGCACTTTATTGAAATAAACTCTTATGTGGCTGGAACTTCAGAATTTCAGAAAACAAAATCAGAAAAATAGTAAATAATTAACATAAAATTTATGGTGTTAAATTTTATTTAAATAAATTTATGTCATGCTTTGTGGACCTTGTATGTTTTGCCAAAGGGCTAGTTTGATCCTGCAAAACCATTGTATCTGTCACACTTATTTGCAGAAACTACTTGAAAATTTCCATAATTATTTTCTAATCTAAGGACATAAAAAGTAAAGCGATGATATAACATACTGACTGCTATGATTCAGATCTGTTTTTAGACCTGCAAAACATATTCAGTTCAAGCTGTTTGTTTTACTATAGGCTTCACAATAAGGATATGCTAGAGAGTATTGATAGTTTTGGTTAATGTTTTCTTTGCTGTTGTTTTCCACATGAATTTATCGTAGACAGAATTTCAGTCTGTGATATTCAGCAGAGAGCAACATACTGAATTATCTTATTTCAATGTGTTGGCATTTCCCACTGGCACTTTCACAGTGGAAAAATACTAGATAAAATTGTTACGGCTTTCAGCAAGCTCAGAAATGAGGTTGGGTCAACAACCTCAGAGGGTTTACCTTTAATGGGCTATCCTTGGATTGCTCTTTTGATGACAACAGAGTTGTATAAAATTGAATATAAATAAATTTGAATGTATTTATATTGTGACTTTAAGGTAGTAAATTGGCTTCACTTTCTGAGAGAACCTAATAAAATACCCCTGGTTTTCCTTGGACTGATTGGACTGATGCCTGAAAATATTGGGGAGACAGTACCTCTGTTTGCAACGCTGTGCCCTTCCTGGGTCAACAGATTACTGGTGGAGCTCCCATAGACATGTTCTTCATACAGGGATTGGTGTTACACATTTCTAGAGCAAAACTAGGGATGACGGGAGAAGAGTTTCTGTATGCGCTGAACATATCTATTTTGGATTAATGTCTCCTTTATATATCTATAATTTTCTCCCCACAAGAGAAACATAGGAAAGTTTCTCCTAGCAGGCATTAGTGACCTGGGAGTCTTAGTACTCAGTTATCTACAGGTTACAAGTAAACTACCTACCCTACCCAGAAAAAAGGATGGTGAAAGTGCAGATACTCAGCCACAGACTCTAATGCAAACGTTTGCTTTTCCTAGGGAAATGTATTCTGTGCAATTACTATTTCTACTTGCTGCTGCAATTATGTTTGATACCAGCAAAACCTCATGTTTCAGTCACTGTCATTTTCACAGAGGTTATGAAGTATCAACTTCAGCTGAACTGTTTCCAAATGTGAGAGAGGGCAGAATCAGCCTTCAGGGAGAAGAGCATAACTTCTTTTCCCAGGTTGAGAAATTATTTATCTTTGCTTCATATGTTGTAGAAACAATAAAACCAAGCTCTTATTCTTCTTTTTCACATGCATTATTAAATAGAGCAGCTATTCATGTTATACTCTTTAATTTATTAATTTCACTTTTGCAAAATCCTATTCACACACATCCTTTGGGCGTTATTTTTCTTAGTGAGGTGAGTAAAATATAATTGTTTTCTCATCATCTTTATGCATTGTGGTAAAAGGCAGGCAAGTACATTCTGCTTCTGTGCTCATAAACTTTAAAGAAACATTTGTTTGATTGATTTTATTATTTCCTCAGACTTATTTCAACTCCATTCTAAGTATGGATAAGTAATAAGATAATTGTATCAGAGTCCAAGTAATCAAATGTGTAAGAACAGTCTGAAATGCATATACTCAATCTCAATAATGTTGAACATTAGAAATAACATTCTCCTTAACTCTGATGTTTCCCTTCCTCTGCCCTCAGCCCAGATCTTAT